CTGGACTGCAGGAGTTAGCAGAGCCCAGTATTTTCTTATCCAAGAGGTATGTTGTAGTCTTTCTTGGAGGGGATCACAGGAATGAGACATTTGTCTCAGCTTTATGTATTCTTGGTGGAACAGTAGTATAATAAAATCTTCTACACTGAACGTAGCTAATCAAAAGTATTTACTTGCCAGGCGCAGTGGCTCAAACCTGTAATCCCAGCACTTTGGGAGGCTGAGGCGGGTGGATCACATGAGGTCAGGAGTTCGAGACCAGCCTGACCGACATGGTGAAACCCCGTCTCTACTAAAAATACAAAACGTTAGCTGGGCATGGTGGGGCACCCCTGTAGTCCCAGCTACTTGGGAGGCTGAGGCAGGAGAATCACTTGAACCTGGGAGACAGAGGTTGCAGTGAGCTGAGATCATGCCGCTGCACTCCAGCCTGAGTGACAGAGGGAGACTCTGTCTCAAAAAAAAAGACAGGATCTCACTCTGTTTCCCAGGCTGGAGTGCAGTGGCATGATCATAGCTCACTGCAGCCTCAGAACTCCTAGGCTCAAGTGATCCTCTCGCCTCAGCTTCCCCCAACAAGCTGGGACCATGGGCGCCCAGCTAATTTTAAATTTTTTTGTAGAGATGGGATCTCACTCTATTGCCCAGGCTGGTCTCAAACTCCTGGGCTTAAAGTGATGCTCCTGCCTCGGCCTCCCAAAGTGCTGGGATTACAGGCGTGAGGCTCTCCTTTCTCTCTTTGTCATAGTAAGATTTTCTTTCCTTGAGTGTCCTTTAATTAATATGAAATGGAGTAGTCTTGCAGAGCTGGCAAAATGATGTGACCTATTTTCTCCATGTATATGTGGGCCACGGGAGATTTCCCATATTGCCTGGTTATGTAGCTTCCCTTGCAGTTCCAGGCACACACAACGGCCTGTGATAATAGCAAAACACTATGTTGCTTTTTCTCACCCCCTCCCCCAGTTCCATTTAGTCATCACTAACTTTGGACTTCTCAATACTGGTCTTTGGGTCATATCTGTTATCTTTTTCATTTCGCAGCTTAGGTAACGGAGGCCTTGGAAGGAGACTCTGCGTCAGGTCACCCAGCAGAGATCAGCAATCCTTGGCTCACTGAGGAGGTTTGGTAAGTTGGCATCATCTTCACCATGACTCAAATGCACATAACCCAGGGGCAGAGAAAAGTGGGTGAACATCACATAGCAACATCAAAATGCTAACCCTTGCCACCCCACTTTGTTTTTCTTTTTACAAACATATTCTTGTTGTGTTTGTTTAATTTACTAGGCCAGAGTGCCCTGTATGTTTGTTAAGTACAAATGTCCTTAGAGGACTCCCACTGCCAAAAAGAATGACAGAGGTATATTTGAATGATTTCACTGAAACGCTTTTAATACTGATTTTATGAAAATGTCTGGCAGTGGGTTCTTCCTGCAGCGCTACTGCGTATCATCAACTGTATAATGCGTCCCCCCGCCCTTCACACACACAATTTAACATGTCTGAAATTCAGCGCACCTTATGCAAACAGGTCTGGTGAAATACAGCATTTCTCTGATAATCCCCAGATGACTAGCATTAAGTATTCCCTACCTCCTAGTTTTCACACAATACAAATTTTTTTTCTTTTTTCTTTTTAAAGGGTTCAATTTTTAAGGGTAAGAAATGCATAGTCTGATGAGTAGCTGATTAGTAAGAAGTCTGTGCTTACCAAAGAAAGAATTTAGGTT